AAATATGTATAAAACGCTATAAATATAACAAATTCAGATAATATGATGTGTAGTTAATATAAGGTTCCAACTATATTGTATATTCAAAATATAGTTAAAACTTCTTAGAAATTTTATTAAAGAAAAGAAACAAGCTGCCTATATTCTACATAGAATAGTAAATTCAAAAGTCCTTTAATATTTAAAAACTCAAATACAATTCCTTAATTCCTGGTATCGAGACTTTATGTATGAAATATACACTTTTTGTTGTTGGGAATTTTGATCTAAATAAATTTAGATTTATACAGATAAGAGCATAAAATTAGTAAAACTCACAGTTTGTCAATAAATTCAAAGATATAAATGCAATTAAGTGAATTTTTAACAAATAAATACTTTAAATTTTTCATTTTTGCTCATTCTAGATTATTACTATGACCATTCCATATTTCGAAAACTCTTTTTTAAGCTACTAGTAATGGCATTACACTTTAAAGAAAATGTACATGTAAAATATACATATATATGTTTGATTTACTTTCAGAACTAAAGAATATTCTGAACACTCCACTGCATTCATATTTAGGCATTGTTAGTCTAAACAAAAACTCGACTACCTTATTAGGGAAAATTTAAGATATATACAAATACGTCTGTTTCAACCATAAAGGTAATTATTTAAACCAAAGAAAGCCAATTCTATCTGAATTCCACCCAGCAATCAAGGCAATCAAACTGTCTTCTTCAACTAAAGAATCTAAGAATCTATACAGGACTTCTAACGGGGCAATACTGATTGAAAATTGTAGTTAAAACAGTGTTTCACAACGAACTTTTTCATATAGCAAATAATATAATTGCAATTTATTATGAAAATTTGACTTAGAGATACTTTCTGATCGGACAATGGAAGACCTTAAAATTGTGTCTTAAAACTTCCAGGCAAAATCTCTAAACATAATAATAGAACTTTATATCAAAATAAGTATATAAATGAGTTTCAAAGTAAAGTGGTAGGTTTTTTCAGACAATAATATGTAAAAAAAATCCCTTTTTAATGTAAAACACCTTAATGTAACACCGTCAAAATATATGACAACAAGCGGATAATTTCCATTTTATACACTTAAGTTAAAAAGTTGAAAAATTCTCTTACATATATTTTATAGTGTAAAATATTGTGCTTAATTTATACTAACTCATAACGAAGAACTATTTAAATATATATATATAAAAAAATTTTATGAGATATAACACAAAAAATGGGATTGTAAAAAATAATATTAACTGATCTGATTATTATTTATCTGATAATATTTTTACTGTTATATATTAAATAAATTCAATAATAAATATTGTGTGATCTTATTATAAGTATTTTTTTACTTAGACATATACAAATACATATTTTAGGGCTTTGTTTTATTGAGAGTAACTAAAATTTTTTATTATAATATATTAATTTTAAATTAAAAAATAATAAATCATAAACATAAAAAATAAATAAAAAAATTATTTTTGCTTGCCAATTTAATTTATTAAATGTGTTTTGCAATATATTGCAATTAATATGTATTATATATATATATTTTTTTATTTCAGATTTATATTCACTGAAATGACACAAAAATCAAAATAATACCAAATACATGAACAACTAAAAGCACAATATGCATTATTAACAGGTTTGTATTATTAATTAAAAATAATTTTATTTAGAAGAAAAACATCCATTTAATTTTGTACAAAATTTTATGATTTATTTTCAATATTAAATATTATTAACATTAGAAAAAAAAAGTATAATAATATATAATTACACAAATTCAATATAGTATAATACAAAAAATTTATAAATATATACTTTAAAAATTTAATTTAATAATATTTTTTAATAAATTTAAATTATATGATTTTATTCAAAATAAATATAATATAACATAAATATTTTTATTTAGAAAAACAAATATTTTTTTTTTTCACATACAACAAAAATTAAGTTTGTACATCAATTAAAAAAAATGTTGATATAACATCAATAATTTGTTTTATAATTAAACTGAATACGTCAATAACAATTAATATTTCAATTATTAACAATATTTAGAAAAAAAGTATTTGTTATTTTACAGCACTTATATCGTTATTATTTAATTTTAAATGCTATGTCATTTATCAGAAAATATTAATATTAAATTATTTTTATTAATTTGTTTGAAAATCAAAGAAAAGCATAAAAAAATTACACACATTGAGATAACATTATTAAATTTAATATAAATTAATTGATGCATGTATATGTTAATTTATACATGTATAAATTTATTCATGTGCAAGTGTATATATATACATATTAATATGATTCTTTAATGTGAAATAAACAAAAAAAGTGTTAATTTTTTGAAAGCATAATTAAAAATACATAGAATAGGCATACATATATAGCTATGTAAAAACATATATATATTCATCAATTAAAAAACCAATTATTTTTATTAATATTTTGCAATACTCTCATATCTAAATATATATATATACAATATTGAATACTTATACATATATGTATGTGTGTAAATAAAATCATATATATATATATACATAAATGAATGCAAACATTTGGTATGTGTAGGTGTATATTTTTTATACATATCGTCTTATATATATATATATATAAATTTAGATAGTGGAATACATATTTTAAAATAAACGTTTTTCCTATTTAACAAATATGTAATATATAACTTACATGTTACAGATTTAATTCACTAATTAATAGTTTTTTTTATAAAACTTTAATATGTTATTCTTAAAATAAAAACTTAAAAAAATTGTTTATTGGAGTATAAGGTTGTCAATATAATAGTTTCAGTTTTCACAAACAAGTCGTTTGTGAATTAATAATATAATTTTACTTCTATCTTTTCTTAAGCTTTATTTACTTCTGGTTTTATGTTACTTATATATCAAGGATATAATCGATCAATGTATGCTGTCCATAATAATAAAGTAATGTTTCTAATTTCTGAAATATTTTTGTTCTGACAAGTACTAATAAGGTAAAGCTCTGGAAGCCCAACTTAAATAATTAATATTGAACCTTCAAATTATGTGAGAGATTGCAGAAAAAGCATTAAAAATCAGAGTTAGATTATTTAATTGTCTTGTAACTCATATTCATTTTATGCTTGCTATATTTAAATGCTTTATTTTAATTGACTGTAAGAATCAAAATTCCAAATAGACTTCAGCGATAAGATATTACATTAATAAATATGAAGATTATTGTACATACACAGCTGGATTATTAAGATTTTTAAATAAAAGTTTGCATAATTTTAACTACACTTCAGTTCAAATCTCATAAAGCTCTACCATCGCTGCTAATTATTAGCGACTACAGGTAAGAAATTTTAAAAGTTATAGATTTCAAGTTGACGATTATTTTATAGAGAAATTATTATTCTCTAATTAACTCACAATGATTGGAATAGTAATTAATTAAATTTCTATGTGAAACTGAAATAAAGACTGAGTGCTATATAATCGCACTAAAGCTAAAACTTCAAAGCAAATTATTTTGTGCATCGCACTTGAGTATTTGACTTTAATATTTAATATCTTCACATCAGTGCATATCTAGGATATATATGTAGTCAGCATATAGTGATTAACATGCACTTGTAAAGTAGATAAGCTTGCACGCAAAGACACTAGCACCAAAAATAAAAGTTATATTCTAGGTATGTTCATAACAATCAATATGTAAATATCTGACCATTCATCTAGAACTGGGAAAATAATTAACTTTAATGGGACCGAAATTGACTTATATTTTTTCGAATAAGCAGAAATGCATAGATAGCATGTATGTCATCTGACAATCTTTGCGACTTTTATAAGTAGGCAGATCAAGAATGATCAAGTTTTAATCAATTGCACATATATTTTGGCTTGGCAAGAAGTAGAGCTATCTTCAGAAGCTTATATCGAAAGTTTTACATTCTCAAACAAAATAAGCTATTATATACTAGTAGTTGTTGAATGAAAATTGCATAGAAATCCTTTAAAACACCAGATTACTAGGAGGGGAACATCGTAAAAGAAAATCCTAGTAACACATTGTCATCGTGGAGTTTGTCACAAACTCACCGGACTAACTTAATAAGGTGCAAATTTTCTCTTTATAGAGCATTATAGGCTTTTTTAATAGGCATAAATGGTTTTAAACCGTCTAAAATTTATTAGCAACACAATAAACCAACTAACCTAAGTAAATAGTGCTAATTTTGTTAAAGCATATCCGAATAGATTAATGCATACCTTACATGTGATAGTGTAAACATTATTTGAAAGATTTTCCAAAATAATACTAACATAGAAGTCTTTGCACATCCTTATCTAAAGTTTAGCTTGGCAATGTAAACTTCTTTCGATTTAGAGAAAAGGAATTTGTACAATAGGAATAAATACTTACTAAACTAAATATTTGAAATACGTAGTTAAATAAAATCATTAATCTGCGATCAAAACATATATTTCATACAATTTAGTCGAGGTTCAATTTAGAATAAAAATTATTATAATTTTAGTCGAGGTTTCTAAGAAATATTGTAGTGAATATATATAAATATATCATTGTCCTGATTTGTATAATTAAAATTGATTTTTAGTAAGACTTTAGGTTTTTTGTTATAAAAAATAAACATTTATTACGTAAAAAATCAAAAGCATTATATAAATAATTGGTTAAAAAGAAAACTTTATAAAATATATATGTATAATATGATAATTGGTGTTAATTATTACTAAATAATATATAAATATTGAACATAGGTATATCATATTAATTATTGTAACAATTTGTAAGTTATATAAAAATAATTAATAATCACTAATGTCGCTGTATTGTTTACTAACTTAGCTAAAATTATGCTTATAATATGAATAAAAATTTTAAAATTGTCGTAATACATGTGTAACAAATGAATATAATTATATTTTTAATATTAATATAATTTTCCTATATAATTTATATGTTCATCAGAATTGATTTGATTTGATTTAATATGAGTAGCGCACACACCTCTTCGAATTCCATCTATGCCTTTAAATTTTATTATTAATATTAATATTAATATTGTTGTCTTGTGTTTGTATTAAATGTTAACATTGTGTTAATATTCCATGCAATGTTAATTTTAACAGCATCCTTATTTATTTGGATTCTACATAGCCTTAAGTTTTTTAAACTCAAATAACAATAAGAAAGACGTCCTTTAAAAGGTCCTTTAATTAGCAAAGAAAAGTTAAAGTAAAGAAAAATGAAAAGTATAGCATAAGTAAAGCAGAATTTTTTTATCATTAGTAAATTTTTAGTTAACTTTTTCTTAAAATAATTGAAATGATATACATAAGAAAATAAAATTATATATATACAAAATTTTATAAAATATTGTAAAAATTTAAAAATATTTAGTTTTTGTTTTTTTTTTATATGTATCTACATATACATATACTTTTAAAGATATTTATATAAAATAATAATATGAATGGCATTTACTCATCCTCCTCGTCCCTGAAGAGATAAGTGCTCCAATAAACCAGATTGAAGAGCGCAAAAACCAATGGAAATGTAATTCGCGATATAACATCGATACGCTTCGATCTAGAACATTGTCTTGGATAAATATTTAAGGAAAATTCAGTTAATGCAACGTCTGGAGATTAGCTTTTTGATTTGTGTGCAATTGTTTTTACCAATTGCTAATTTATTAAAAATTATGAAATACATATCGTTAAAAAAAATAATTTGTTTGTTTTAAGGAATAAAAAAAATAACTCATAAACAAAACTCATAAATTCAACTGATAGATCGGAAATTCTATAAAATTCACTGATTTGAAAAGATCATTGGCAAAAACTATAGCTAATATATGCAAAACATTATTCTATAAATTATTGTATATAAGTATATAACAATTTTATATATATATTTATTATTTTTATAAATTGCTTTTAATATTTTTAATTCAATACAAAAAATAAACACAACATATGTCAAGGAAATTTTAGCAAATTCTTGTTGTATTTTGTTTAATTTTTTTATAAAAATTTCAAAAACTAATTAAATGCTTTTAAAAATATAATTAAAAACATTGTTCAAAAATAGGATTGTTAAATAAAAAAACAGTATTTCATCAAATCACAAAAAAAATACTTTCTTTAAATATATATTTTTTTGATTTTTCCGACAAATATTATGACTATTAATATAATTAGTAATAAATTTGAAAATCAAATAAATATTTTTTTAAACTGTTGTTGAAAATTTTTTATAGAAAAATTATGAAATATTTGCTTTTGTTTCCTTGATAACTTTTTAAAGGCTAATTTGTTTATAATAATTATGGTAATAAATAAATAATTAACATTTATTATTTTCTTTAAATTTTGATTACTTATTTTTTCATCACGTATTAATAAACAATTATATAAAAAATTTTTATTACGCAATACTTTATCGGAATATTGTTTTACTTCAAAGTATTTTTAATATTTTATTGAAATAGAAATTAATATATTAGTTTTTAAAAAATTAACAAGAACATTTTTAACAATTATCTAAAAAAAAGCATGCATTCAAAATAATTTCCAAGAAATAAATATTAATATAATAAGTTAACAATGTAATTAGAAATTAAAAAAAAAGCACTCTAAACTAATTTAAGTAATAAAATTATAACTAGTAAAAATATTATGCTTTTAAGTGTTAAATTTATTTAATATTCTATAATGGAGGATTTAACAAATCAAGTCTTTGGATTATTAGATTACTACACCTAAAGATATTTTTTAACTGATACTGCAAGGTCGTAAGGTCATGATCCATCCCAATCTAATCTTTTAAGTCAGCTTAATGTTGTTTTATTTCTTAACCTATCTCTTAGATCTATCATATTTTAAGCAAGAGAATTATAAATAATATTGTTTTTTAGGTAAAGGCAGTATTTTGTTTACAACTCGGTAGAATTAAACTTTAAGGTAAACTATAGATTAGGTAGATTTAAATGATGTAGATAAATATATTTCGCTACAGACTTCAACAATAATATTATTAATATTTATTTGAAAGGAACTGGTACACGGAACCAGTGAAATCTATTTTGCTATCGCTAGATAAAACATTCAAGGCGAACCTGTGCAAATTAAAGTTATTGATAAATCTAATAATATCTATTGAATCAAGGCGTTAGAATTGATGCTGTATCCAGTTCTTGATAATTTTTGGATATCACCATTTAAGGTAGGCAGATGTTTTTTTCTGCATTTTATAAAATCTGCAACCACGAAAGTGATGAAATAATACAGGTGTTTGTGTTGATCTGTCATTTAAAACATCAATAGGTGTCTGTATTTATCTGTTCTATCTTAGAAAATTGGTGAAATATGGTAGTATTTACTTAGCGGCGGGAAATACTGGAAACGGATAATAAATTTGGCTGACTGAAATATATTTTATAATGTAGCTCATATTGGATAGAGCTATAGATAGAACTAGGCTTTGGAGAATGATTGTGTACGTAAATTTTATTTTCATATTGCAGTATGATTTCGTCTCCATTGTTGGATTGCTTAATCAAAATAAGATGCAGTGATATTACTTATTTCCAGTTTATTCAGTTTTAAATTGTTCAGTGATAGTGTCACTACATTTAAATATTTAAAAATATTGTAAACTTGCAATCATAACCAAAGCAACCATAATTAGAACTACTATGGTTGATATTTGCGCACTACAAAACTGTACCCAATTAATGCATCCTTTTGCTTAGATTTTTATAGCATAAACTTCGAACTATTGACTGGTGGATTATTTCCATTTAAAGAACTGAGTTGAATCTCAGTCTACAAACCATACAATTGGTTGATTTGTTCTTATGTTTTTTTGATACACATGAGTGATATATTGGTCGATGGCCCATGTATGGCCACTTAAAACTGTGACCGAATTAATATTTCATAACGAAAAGAGAGCCCATGGAGTTTTTTCCCATCATCTCCTAAATGTGATATATACGATGGACTTAAGTATATTCAGGCAGTTATGTGTTACAATTAAAAGCAGATAGCCAATTAGGTGACTATTGTTGAAGAATGAAATTAGAATACATGTTCATTACTTCAATATATTGTTGTTATTTTTTGTGTGTTAGGGAAATCTTTTTTAAATCTAGTTCCTTCCTGGTTTACTATGCCCATGTTGATATGTAAAATATTATAAATTGTTTGGTTCATTTTTGTGAATTGTAACAACATTATATTACAATAGTACTTATATTATTATATATTATATATTTAATATTATTCTTTGAATATAAAGAATGTAATTACGTAAATAATAAAACTAAAAATTTAATATGTGTTTGTTTACATCCAGGTTAATTTTATAATCATAAATAAATAAAACAAACAAATTATATAAGTATTGATAACAATAACAACAACTTTAGCTTATTTAATTAAAAAAAAGCAATTGCAGTGTTTAATTCTTTCCGTAATTAATTAATTATTGAATAATTCATTATCTTACTTGAATATATTATAAAATTTTTTTTTATTCTGTTTTTACGCTTTATCAACAAAAATTTAAAAGGCAAACATTACTGTTCAAAATGCAATTAACAACAAAGTTTTAATTAAGCTCTAATATCTTTAAAAAAAAATAACAATATTAAAATTTTAAAAAATAAGATCGGAAATTAATACAAAAATTTCACAACATCAAAAAGGAAATCCATACCAAGCACAAAAATTTAAAGCGAATTTATCGCTCAAAAAATTTAAGCAAGCTCAATGTTACCTTGTTGGGAATTTTGACAGCCACGTCTTACAGCAGTTTGGACGTTTGGGCGGTTGCATGTGCACCTCACACTGACGCAGCTTCTCTAAAGCTAATGGATCACCTGGATGACGTACCAGCGGCTTCTAAACTCGACAAAATGTATTAGCGTCGATGAACGATTGGGATTGGAACAATGAACGATGTGCGAAGTGGTTGGTGGGGTAATGATTTGTAATAAATTTTTTGATATTTGTTGATTTTTTGTAAATTTGTTGTAATTGTTGTTGTTGGGAAGTTTTATGATGGTTTTATGATGTAGAAAATTTGACATTAAAGATACAAATTAAAAACAGAACATTATTGAGTATGATGAAAAATTTTTAAAGCCAATTTTGTTTATGTCTTAATAATATTCATATTCACAACTTTAAGCAAGTTTTTAAAATTGTTTCAAAAAGTCGTATTTGAAATGGTAAACACAAAGTTATTAATAGTTTTTAACAAAACAAAACAAAACATAATGTAAACAATAATTATGAATTAATAACAAATATTTAGAATTAAACAGAAATATTAAATTAAATACTGATTAATTAAAAGTAAATATTATTAAATACTAGTTTGATCATACGAGTAATTGCAATAATATCACCTATTTATAATTACTAGGATCTTGATTCTAATAAAAATCTTGATTGATTTTTTTTGATGCTCTCTTATTATTATAAAATATATATGAAAGTTTAGTTTGACAACTAATGACAGCAAATAATGCGATTAGATAGCTGACATAGCAATGATTGCTTGTGGCAAAATTCGATTGATTCTTTAAAGTAGTTTTAGGATGTCAAAAGAATCGTCCTTTTGAAGTTTAAACCGAACGACACAACTTGGATGAAATATTGTGCAATACCCTACTTATTCTATAGATCAGATACCTTCTAATTAATATTCCTTTTGATTTCTACAGAATTTTTTTAATTATTAAATTCTTTCCTTCGACTAAGATGATCAAAAATGACTTAAATCAGTTTTTTTGCTAGCAAATAACAAATACTTTATATATATAAATTAATAAAATATATTTATTTATTAAACGATAACCATCTTTCATTATCATAAAAGAATTAAAATGAACCTCCGAAAACATTATATTTCAAGTCAGTTCTTTTTTTCTTACATAGTAAAAAAGTGTATTACAAAGAGTTATTCATTTCATAATCCTAATTTTAATTTTTTTTGTAACATCGATCGCTTAAAAATTTATGAAAATTACTGCGAAAATTGTTAAAACTTTCTACAAAAATTGTGTTGCTTTAAAGATTTAAAGTTCGCTTTAAATTTTTATTAGTGATGAGAATCCTTTCTCGCTTGGTGGATATTTTAACAAACCAGATTATTATACTTGGGTCAGTAAGAATCGTTAAGCAACGTTTAAAAGATCGTTGCTGAAATAGTCACTGTATGAAAGTGAGATAGGACTTTACTTTTTTCAAAGTGTTTTGATATATACTAGCACATCAATTCCAATGTTTTTGGGTCGAAATTGAATTCATCGATATGGAAGATATGTGATTTTTATTAGAAAACTGTTGGGAGGTACACAATACGTTTTCTTCAAGCCTTGATGTATAAGAATTTTTTTGAGATGTGTTATTTTCATATTTCAGTGATATGAATTGGTATCTTCTGACGTGCTTTAGATTTTTTTGTGGATATTAATGTAGCCAATGCTTCAAAATTCCTCGCTGTGAAAAATAATATCTGTCGTGTTATGAGCGAATTACTTCAAAACTATGCAGTACTGTGAGATGTCCCATGAAAAACAGTTCAATAATATTACATTTCACAACTAATGGCCAGATTGAAACAATGTCTTGAAACAGTAATTCCATAGAAATTTCAGTAATCAGTGTATTTTATTTCAATTTACTTTTTTAACCACATAATTGATAACCCTATAATCCCAAAAATTTTATAGGGTTAAAGAATGAAAGAATGTAAGAATGTTGATTTAACAAAATGCAACAATAACTAGATATTCATTGCCAAAGTCGATTAAAATTGTTTTTTAGAAAGTATTTAGTTAGTATTTAGCATAAAGTGTAACCAAAATAATATTATAAAAAAGAAATGTGTTTTAAAAAAATATTAATAAATCAAAAACAAAAAATTGCATATATAAAATATTATAACAGAATTTTGACATATACCATTGCAAATGTAGCATTGCTATCTGTATCGAGCAGATCTGAAGCAGCATCTAAGCTCGCCTGCTCCAGGTCACGACGTTTCTTTTTCATATTTTCCTTATGCATGTCTGCGGCCCGATCCGTATGTGGCATGTGGTAGAAAATGTTTGACAAGAATTTATTTGTTCCATAACAAAATAAATAGCAAAAAGTAGTAGTAACACAGTAGCAATAGTAGTAGAACATTAGTAGCATTAGTAGTAGCGATAGTAGTAGTTGTGATGATAAAGTAGTAGAAAAATATTGTTGTTTGTTACACACACATATACAAATATAACCAACAGCAAAGTTGTTTGTAGTTGAAGTATATTATGGTTTTTTTACATTATTTTCAACATTGATTTACGGTAATTAACAAAATAAATTGTAGTGCATTGTAAAAAAATCGAGAAAAAAAAACACAAAAGTTAACGTATGTATTAAATAATATATTAAGCATTTAACATAAATTGAATGTAAAATATTTGAATTGTTAGTTAAACACATTTAAGTATGGAAAGGATAATTAAGTACACAAATACGAACACAAACACAAACACAAACACACGCACACACACAGACAACAATTATTATTAGCAAATAAGGCATAAATTTAAAGAAATTATTTTAGTCACAACATACATAAATATTATTAATAAATTCGTTATTATCATTATTAATTTATTTAGTTCACATTGAAATAATTTACAGTGCCAATTTGTTAAATGGAGTCAATAAATTATTAAAAATTATTAAAAATTAAACGTATTATGGGTAATAAAATAAAAATGTTAATTTATGAAAAATACAAAAAAAAAAAAATTAAATAAATAAGACAGTTGGGTATTTAAAGGTAGTAGGTGTGGTATGTGTAGGGTTGCAAGTTTGCGTTTTTTGGTGAAATGTGTTGCATGTAGTTTTATTATTTGTTGCGCGTTGTTGTTGATAAATTATATTCATAATCACGTACGTTGATTGGTTTCATTGTTTGTTGCATACATATTATTAAATACATTTATATTATTGTTGTTTGTTGTATTAATAGTTGTAGTTGTTGTTGTTCATTGTAGTGTACACATTTAAATGAAACGTGACGATGATAACAAAAAAAGGAAAAAAATATATTAGTAGCATGTTCTCATATATTCAATGTATATAAATTCATTAAAAAAGTTATGTATATTTTGTAAAAATATAAATTGTTGCCCTTTTTAAAGTGTACAGTCTCCATTGTTAAATATATCATTATTTTACAGTGTAGCAGTTTGTCCAATGTCATGTAAATTTTTTGAATTTTATTTAATTTACAAATCAATTTTCTCTTATTCAAATTAGTATGTTAATGGTCCTTGTGTTTGCTTACGAGTGTGTACGAGTATGTACGAGTATGAACGAGTACGAGTACTACAAGTTAAGTGCATTCGTGTTATGTATATTCTTTTGTACAGATACATTTGTAGGCAAGCTTGCAAATTGTAAAATTACACAATAAAAAAAAAGTTTCAATTAATACAAAATACAATTCATAAAAAGCATATAAAATCTCAATTACTAGGTTTATTCAAACCTGAACGGGAGGCATAATTGACCAATGCAAACTCAAGCAATGCGCCGAATACGAACGTCAAACACACGCCAGTCCATACATCGATGGCTTTTGTATAGGAAACTGGCGGCAGTGAAGCGTTTATGCCGGATGTTTGTGTTGCCATTGTTAGAAGTGTAGTTACACCTAAAATTTATAACTTATATAGTATCATTTGTAACACAAATTTTTTATAATAAAATAATAAATATTATTTTATTTTTTATATTTCGTACTGGGCTTAGGTCGTTTATTTAACACATTAATTAATAAAAATGTTTTTTTTTAAATAAAATAAAAAATTACACTTTTTAAACTTTGTTAAATATTTAGTTATATTTTAATTTTTATACAAAATTATTTATATTTCAGATATTTCGGTCTACCATCTTCAGTGGTAATTTTATATTATATTTAAAAAATTTTTTTTTTAATTTTTGTGTTAAATAAACGACTTAAGCCCAGTAACAAATATAAAAACTAATTGAATATTGGTCGTAATAATAATTTATTAATAAATATTATATAAATCAATATAAATTAGAAAAATAGTATGAAATTTATAAGGGGCACAATATTTTTATACATAAATTTTGAAGTTTTTTTTGGTAGAAATAACTAATTAAATTTTATAATTATTCATACAAAAATTTAATTTTACTAGTTCTAGTATCAATTACTTAAAATCTTAAAGTTTATATGAACTTAAACCGTTTTTGTTTTGAAAACTGACAAATGGAACGCAAATATTAGGTTTTTATTATACGACGTTTTTTAGTAAAAACTACTAACATTTTTTTATATGAGTATGAAACATATAGCCATAATGAGATTATGACAAAGAAATTATATTTTTAAAGTATTAAAATATTTTTAATATAAAAAATTTTCAAAAAAGATAAAACAGCTGTCAGGATTTTTTAATGCAAATAAAGAAATATTACCAATTTGTACTATATTAGATAAAGAAATGAAACCTTTTTTTTATACTAAAAACAATTTGATAAATCAGTTTGGTATCCATTTTATTCAACTTTCTCAAAAACATCCTTTATGGTTTTATTATAGAAATTTGGACTTTAATTTATGAAAACCTAACACATATACTTTGAATAATTCTGTTTTGAAATCAATGTTATGCCAAAAAACTGCACAAATGATAATCTATATTGTAGATGTATTATAATATCTCAACCGACGTGATTTAACATTTTTGTTTTGGTGTTGAAATTGCACCTGGTTTACTTAAACTAATTAGCAAAAAGATTTAGCATTGAGTCAAAGAAATCCAATTGAATGAACTAAATCTGTTTTCTTATATTCTTGCATCAATAGTAATATTTGCTAGTTATATATGTTAGTATCAATCATTTTCCTTGATTTAATAATGAATGATGTCCTTTCGCTAAAAACAAACACTAAATTCCTGTGTTGTTAGTATTGACATTAGCACTTTTTATTTAACTCAATCTTGCTTAAATCAGGAATGTTTTAAACAATAATATCGTATATAGTATTATTTTCTTTACCTGTTAACGTATACTCCTCGTTTAATGGAAATTTCGATCTTTAAAATTGTTTCATTCATTTGAGTTTGAGATCCCCAAATTTTAAACTTGTTTTTGTACTCTGCTTCATATAAATGGTTCAACATTGTTTTGTAGTAAATGTTTTTTAATTTTGATAGAAATTGTAGAATTTCATCGACATATTTTGTAAAAGAGCGACTAGATCTTTAGATCTTAAGACCAAAAAAGCAATCTTTTAATTTCCAGAATGAAATCGATTAAACCAATTATTGACAGTTAATTAAAAGCACTAATAACACAAAATTATTAATCACTTGAATAAGGCATATTTGTTTTTAATTTTTGTTCAGTTTATTTACATTAAATGCATTTCACAAAATTTGCTAAGATTGGAAGTTTTAGAAAATTCCATTTATATAGCAGGTAGCAGAAATATAACAAGTCTTAGTTAATTCTTTAAATTCACTACAAAGGTCAGTAAATCTAGTATTTCCTAACCGTAGATAATTATTGATTTGGTCGGCTTGGATACTGTGAGCTTTCACCTACACTAAAACATCTAAACATAGTAGATTTACAATATCGTTTTACTCTCGTCAGTTTACAGTCGAAATTCAAACAAATAAAAACAAAATTTCTTTGTGATTGATAAGTATATATTCTTAGCTCTGTCTAGAGAAATATATGACGAATGCTAACTTAAGGAATTTGTCAGGCATTATTTTATTGTTTAAGTCTGGTTTTGAAAATAATAGCCTTCACTCATAATCTACGGTGTTGTGAGTTTCAGTTAACTAAAGAAGATCCTAAGAACCAAACAAAGCACTTTAAATAGACATAAAATAGATCAAAACTGTTGTCTTTATAAATTGTATATATTCTTTGTTTGTTACTGCGATATACCGATATGTTGATCCTAAAACATAGGTTTTTGGTGCTCTGCTATAATTTTATCATTTATTTTGTAGAACATTTTCATAATTTTATTATTATTATAATGACTGAAGGATATAAGTTCAACGAGTTAATTAATTTAAAACTGCAAAAAATTAATACTTTTCCTTATTTTTTGCTTTTTATTACATTTTGTGCAGTTACCTAGCACATTATATTTAAAACTATTTCTGGCAATACATAAAAGTTTCTGCAATGAAAAGCAATTTGTGATGAGGATATTTTCAATATTGGACTTAATTAATTTAATAAATAACTTAAAAATATTATTTAACTAAAAAAAAAAATTCATACAACCATATAAACTTATTTATGCCTTTATCAGTACGTTTAAAAGGTTTAGACTAGATGATAATATATTAAATGAAATAAGTATTGTAAAAAGTATGTATATCAACTCTAAAACAAATATATAACTTATAACAAAATAATAGTTTTAGTTTATTTAATGCATTCAAAAATATTTTTCCTTAACTAACTTTATTTTGTTATATACACTAAATCTGATAAATTGGTGTTTTTTATTGTATGTTTGCTTTAAAATTATTGTTTAATGTTTAAACTTACCCAATGACACACGAGCTGGTACAGCGCCTTGGTCAAGCCAGAATGACACCCATGAGACAATGACCAACATACAGCATGGAATATAAATTTGTATTAAGTAATATGAGAATTCTCGCTTGAATAGTAGATCGACTTTGAGGCAACTGTATTCACCTATGAGTATACAAGGTACAAGGTACACATAAAATATGGAACAAAAAAAATTCTATGCATGGAAGTCGAAATAAATATTTGATTTATAAAAAAAAAATGAAAGTAAAAAATTTCTCCATATTACCTATGGTGAGAAGAAAATTAAAAGAAATTATATTTAATATTTCCCAAAAAAAATTTTTTAAATCAAAGATTTTTAAATGTTTCACGTGAACAAATCAATTAATAAAATAAAAAATATGTTTTAATAAAAATTCAATTAAAATCAAAAAATATTCAGTGAAATTAAATCAAAAATTATGGCATCATAGGCAAGTAGAATCAACATCAACGTTTGTTTTTAGTTCGGCAACAAAAATTTTAACGGAAATGAAACAATTTATTTGCAATTGCTCTTCCTGTTACTGCTTCTTCTTCTTTTTTATTTAAGTTTTTAATTTGTTATTCATTTCCGTTAATTTGTTGACAAAGCGTTCCATACTCTTCAAGACAAAGTTGTTCATAATTTGTTTTTATTCTCATATTTTTTGTTTGTTTGTTATTTATTCATTAAGTTCTGGAAAATTTGAAATAATTTTTTTTATTCTTTAATTAAGTACTTTTTAGTTAATTTATCTCATCAATGCATCTGGCAAATGCATCCAACAATATAATTGGAGATATTTGTAATTGAATAGCATTGTGATGTTTTGTGAATAATTTCGTACTTTATACCTAAATTGCGTATTAGTTATGTTCTTGTAAAATGTGAAGTAAAATTAGCATTATAAATTAACCTTACATTATTCATAAATATTTTGCAATAAGTTGTACATTATAAAAGTTTTTATTTTAACATAAAAGTAACTATAAAATATATGGATGTTAATTTATTTCTGAAATAATAGTTAATATTTTTTACTTTTTACTTTTTACTTTTACTAATTTCAAATTAAAAATAAAATTGGACATTCTTTAAAAAATGGATCATAAAACCTATTAAATATTACCCACCAAACTTTGCAAATTCATATACATAATAGAATTTTTAACAGTTAAAAAATCACAGTCTATATATTACTATATAAAATCTATATATATATAATAATTAATAATTAAACTTTAGTGTGCGCTTATCCAGAAAATGCTATTATGTCAAGAAAACTTATATAAATTTTTTCTATATAAACGAATCAGTGGTTAAAAAGTATTTTATATTTCTTAAATTCTTAAACATTTAATATATTATGTATTATATGTATATTGCTTTTTTAAGTAATTAAAATAGTTTTATGTTAAAAAACGAAAAAGAGGATAATTTTTTTATTATAAAAGTAATAAATAACTAGAGAAATTTAGGAAATTAAATTGATTATAATGGACTATAAAGTAAGTTTACCAAACTAAAATTAATTATTATTCAAAAAATAATTCAATTTTAGTTTAAAGTAACGTATACGAGGTGTGATCAAAAAGTAACGAGAACACTGACTCTGAACTTCAATTATGACAAGGCACGAGTTAAACTCTCGGTACTTGTAGTCTCAAAAGAAAAAATTATTTATAAATAACTAAATATATGAAATAATTCTAAAACCACTGATGATTCAATTGATTAAAATAATATAAAAAGAGTTTTCGTTGTTATAGTTCACTACTTTTCGAAACCTCTCTAATTAATACAATAGTTTCTATCAAGTAAGATAGTCACTACCGTCATATGGACATTAAGATAATTAATTAATTTGAATTTTTCGTTGTACTTAATTCTGTTTTTAATACAATATATTCTAACTTCATAATTGTGGGCAGATACGTTACCAGTACACAAAAAAGACAACTCTCTAACCGATATACAGCACGCATAATTTTAAAATTATTAATACTTCTTGATGCTATTTTGTATAGATGTTTACGAGATTGAAAACTAAACAATTTCATTTACTTAATTATTAAATAAATGATTAAGTAATTTATAAATTACTTAATAATTGTAAGGCAACTGAACTTATGTTAATTTTACTTCCTACAGTTTGACTGAAATTAATATTATTTGTTGTTCTCACAGTTTTATCACTTTTTACATGAAAATATAATCATCTTGAACATTAGTTCCTTACAATGTTTAAAAAATTTTAATCACCAACGACCCTACCGTTTTAATAGTTGTACTAAAAGTTTAGTTAACTCTTTCACTTCTATAAAACATTATTAAACATATAAAATATTTAGTATAGGTCTTTAGACTACCAGATATTTATAAACGGGCGTCTCTACTATACACTGTACTAGGTTTTTTAAGCTTATCGTTGATATAATAATAAAGTTATTCATCGCCATGACGGTTCTAATTTTGAACCTCCTTGATTTTTGCATACAACAGTTTTGGGTTATAGTGACTGTATGGTTCTTTTTTCGGTAGAATTATCTTTGATAGTTTTATTTCAGTGCATAGTTTTCCTATTTACAATTTTCTCAAACCAAAGAATCATCTCCTATAACAAATTACTCTGCTTAAAAATATATGAGTGTAAGTATATAAATAGTCTACGTTACTAAAATTCACTAGATTCATTTAAAATTTTATTAATTTATGCTATCGACATAAATTATAAATATATTATTTTAATAATGTTAATATGCAAGGATACTGTAATTATATTTTAAATAAAAAAACATATACATTAAAAATTCGTTTTATAAAATTAGCTATACATGCATAGTATATAATACTAGCGAAAGTATTAATATATAAATGAACTAAAATTAAAACTGAAAATTATTTTTAAAAAATATTAAGAGTTTACCTACTTCATAGCTTAACTTCTGCAAAAACACAATATTTATTTTTTATCTATTGACACGTGTATTTACTATAATCTGTCAAAGTATTTGATGTTACTCTTTAGCTCTATATTAAGTTAAAAACTTAATATTTACTTTATATGCATTATCTGTGACAAAAAATCTATTTGAATTCTTATAATACATAACATACATACGAACATTCTGCTACAATATACATCTTAGTCTACAATATACGTTAGTCCTTCTATCTTTATATCAAACTCTTACTGTTACTCAACTCTATTTTAACAATAGATCTTACTCTTTCTTTCTTTATGTCAACATTTTTCTTTTACTCTATTTTAAAAATTGTTACTGTCTCTTATTGAAGTAGAAACCAATGAAGAGTTTTAAGCATATTTATTCCATTTTTTTTGTTTATACTCATATTATAAGATCCTTTTGTAAATCATATAGATAGGATTATTATATCCTACGGTGTTGTTATCTTTTCATCTATATTTCTTGCTTTTTGCTTCATTAATGATATGATTTTATTATTATATTCTATATTCCTTTCATTTGATTTTTTTACTTTTTCTTCTTTTCATTAACACTACATATACTTCTCAGCTTTCTCTGTTCTACAAAATTTTTTTTTATTCTTGTATAATCGATTTCATCACCATTGGCTTCTATACTATTTAAATTGTTTCGCTGAATCCAATAAAATTATCTTAAATGGCCTTTTTTCTATACTCTTAAATCTAATACTCTCCATGTGTGTATCTTCACCTGTTCTGATTAGTGCTGCAAATTATCTGAGCACTTCAATGTTCGAGCTGCGTAAGGACGTCGCATTACTCAGCCAGCTCATCTGTTTACTGCGACATATTATTTTTGTTTCAATTAATACATTGGCGCGAAATGCTCGAGTAAAATAATACTCAAACATCAAATTGGTCGACGCATTGACAAGTTCGAGTAATATTTAGTCCTGATGTATTGCTCTCTGTCCTTTTTAATATTTTTGTCTATCCCTGTTATAGCTGGACGTGTTAGTTAGAACGCTCTTCAAAATAATGATTATATATAAAACATTAAAAAGTTTAAGCATTGTTAAAGAGTTTAAACAAACAAAATGAACCAAAACAAAAAATTATAATAAATTTTTAATACTAAACTTTTATATAAAACTTATATTACATACAAGTACTTTTAAAATAGTTACGCTCTGAAATAAAAATATACTGCGGTAAGCTGTGAAGTGTTTCGTAATTGTTATGTGTTAAAATAGGGTGTGTTTGACATTTTTATGACATATAAACATTTAACAAAAAATATTACATATATGTAAATGCTTAATAAACTACTTGTAATAATTTTTATATATTGCATCTATACTAACACTTAATGAGTTTTAAGTTTTACGCAATAATGATATAAATTCCATTGTACGAGTACTATAATTTTGTATATAATGGGTCTTAGCATTACGTTAGAATGTACCAGAACTAAACATGCAATTCATGTTTGGAGCATTGTACTTGTTTAAATATTATTTATTAATCTATTGTATAAAAATATTTTATTATTAATAATTAACAAACAACTTTTCTTTAAATGCTTTTATATTAGAAATAGAAATTTAAATCAAAAATCTTAAATAAATTATTTAATAAACAAGCAATAAGAACATTAACAAGGAATCAAAAATATAATAAAGATTATAAATACTTATATTATAATTGAAAGTAATATCATTTAAATAATTCTTAAAATATGATGAATTAAAAATAAAGTTAAATATATAAAAAAAATGCTTAATATAAATATTTTAAGAATTATAAATGTAAGTTATTAGTTTTACGCATAAATGCTTGCATCTACAAGTCTTTGAAAGTTTACATACCAGTATTAGTTTTACTATTACAGTAATCAGTCAAGAATTTTTCCAGGGTGAAGCGAGGTAGGTGTAAGTTTTTAACCACTTGCACAGGGTCACCCTCTTTCCATAGGAAGACAAGATCATTTGTAGTCCAACCATCTAAAATTTTTATTTAATAAACTTGATTAAATATAGGAATTTAGTTTCTGTATTAATAATTATTTATAAAATTTATAAGAAAATAATTAATTTATGTTTTTTATTCAGTGGACAACTCATTTTAAATGTAATATTTGCTTTTTTCTTCTACTTCTTCGGATTTCAAAAAGATTTTTGAAAAAAGACAATATTAAAAAATAAAGTTAATAAATTTATTAATAATATTGCTTATGGACAGAACGTAATTTAATATTTATTTTATTACATTTTTTAACAAGTGGTTCGGTTGGTTTTATTTCAACATCTTCAAGAGTATCATACTGTCAAGTTTTTATATAAATAAACACAATTCATTTATTTTAAATAACTATTATTTAGATTAAATTATAATTATAAATAATATAACTTGTCCATTTTGCGCTGCTTTCAATTGGTTCTTTTTGATCCATTTATTTTGTTATAATAAATTGTTTAATGTACTATATATCACTGTTTAAATTAATTTGCTAATTAAGCTGCGCGTCTAAGTAATTTGTTAAAAGTACCTGTCAAAATAATACCACATTAGAAATTTGTTTTTCTTAGTAGAACGCAATACCTTATTCGATTTAAAAATAATAAATAAATATTTTGTAGAGTATATTAAACAAAATTTATTTGAATTAACTTTAGTGCATACACGTTATAGGTATATGAAGTGCAAGTTAAATAATTTTTTAAAAGTACTTCATAAATAATATTATTCTAAAAATATTTTTTAAGTAGAACTTAATGATTACTTAAATCATTAAGTACTTCATAAATAATATTATTCTAAAAATAATATTTTTTAAGTAGAACTTAATGATTACTTAAATAAAAATCATAAGAACTCAAAATAAAAGGTAAAATTTTTGTGATATTTATCTTTCATAAGAACTTCAAAACTAATGTTTTGAACTAAAGCCTGAAATATATGCAATATATAGAAAAAACCTATATATTGGACGGTGCAAAACAACTGAAAGGGAACCGACATATTTTTTCGAATTTATCCGAAATTAAGATGTACTGTTCAAGGCCCTGTTGATTAGTGCCGCAATTTACTTATAAGATGCCTAATGCCGTCAAGTTTCTCCTTGAACCAACAAATTCTTTCATTGCTACTCTTTTCTTCCGAAAAGCGATGTCAAGGTGTTTTTCATTTTTCTTTGAATTAAATAAAAACAGCAATGTTTGCCGAAAATGTTTTTTTTCAGGCACGAAATTTGATGTGATCACTAAAAACGATAAAACGGAGACGCTAGTTGTTGGCGGGATTAATCTGTAATACACACAAGTAGTTTAACAACAATAGCTTAACTAACAAAATGATGTATATGTCAAATCAATGCACTGTGTACTTTTCTCTCACTTTATCTCTTAGTTAATCCGAAAAAAACTTATACATATTAAATGTGTATTTTGTATTAATTATTAAGTAACCATTTGTAAGCTTTTATAATACTCATTATAATTAATTTTTAATTAGTAGTTATTAATCTTTTTAAATACTTACAACTTGCCATACGTAATGAACAGATTTGCCTATCCAAAGGATATAGTTTTAAGTTCATTGGGCATGCCAGCGTCAACGATATACGTATACTGTATAGAACTGAGCCATTAGGAAAGATACGTATATAGACGTTTGGCATAATTATATTATGAAAATGACCCTCTTTCTCATTTGAGAAGAACAAATCAGGCATCCATACACGATTTGCTTCAGTTAGTGTTAAATATTTAAGACGTCCTAAAAGAAAAAATTTTGTATTAATATATAATAGACAACAATTAATACTTTTTTTGAATTTCTTGTTTAAATATTGCGATATGACTTTGGTTATATGAGATATGAGACGGATAAATAGAAGAAAATTATAATAAAAATTAAATACGTATAATTTATAATAAAAAAAAGTTATATTATATATAATTTTAAAAAAAAAACTCGACTTAAACTCACCTTGTATGTCATCAAATTTCAAACGCTCATCTGTCCATTGCTCACGAAATGTCAACTGCACACTGTATTCCTATTTTATTGTATTTGATAAATAATAAAATTTTTAAATATTAGTAACAAATTGAAATATGTAAATGAAATGATTTTTTAATGTAAATTCTTCTAAAACTATTTGACTAAAATGCATTTATGGTCGAATTATTTTTGTAGGACATTTTTAATTGAATATTGAATATTGAATATTGAGCGAATATTTTAATGATTCAGAGGTTTTACTTATTATTTATGTGGATGAGGATATATTTAATTTTGTATGTATGAAAATTGGTAAAACGATATTTTTTTAAAAATTTCTGTGAATTTATTGAAATAGTTACCAATTTTAATTTTAATTTTTATTTTTCGAAAATGTAGCGATTTATTTGATTTTAAATTTTTAATAAATCGATTGAAACGAGAGATGATTTATTTTATTTTTTTTTTCAAAGTTTGGTTTCATATTTGGCATGTGGCGGTTAGAAGAATGTTTATTTTTATAAAATATTTTTTCAACGGATTTTATTGAAATGATTTCATGTAAGCCTATGTTTATTTAATTACAAGCAGCGTATGCAAAACAAAACAAGCAACATCACACATACAATTATATTAGTTCAATTAGCACATGCGTTAGTATGTTTAAAATTTTAACCAAAATGTCATCAAGCACTTGAATGACATATATCACATCGAAAGCCGTGCATAAACAAAGGTACAAGCATTGATAGCATTAACTTATAGATAATTTAGCATTGCAAATATAAGTATAATAACAACAACAATCAAATGCAATTCAAAAATTCTAATGCAAATAAACGTTGCAAAAATTTTTTAATTAAATTACAACAAATTTTAATTTTATTATATGTATATTATATTAATGGAATTTTAATTATACTAAGCTTATCTTATATACCTAAAATACATAAAATTTTAATAAGACATATTAAGTTATAAGTATTTGTAAAAAAATAGTGTCCTTCATATATATAACATGCAGTTAACATAATATATATAATAGTTTCATGATATTTAAATATAAAATAAATTTATTTTCAAATTGAAAATTAATTAAAATATTTTTTGGGCCACCGTAAGATGTGAAGCAATTATTTTGAGATGGTGATTATTAAGTTGAATAAACAACTGAATTTCTTCAAAAGATCTTAATTAAAGTCTTAAAATTTATAAGACTTTAAGACCATATGGTCAACTTGTAAAACAATTTATAAATTAACCTTGTGTTAAAAAAACGTTTAATAGTTTCACTTAACAAATACAATAAAATAAAGAAAAAATGATATTAATATTTTTATCTGACACAGAACCAAAGAAATGATAAAGAAAGAAAGATTATTTTACTTAAAATATATAACTTCCGTTACATTTTTTTAATGATTTATAAATTTACTCTATATAAAAATTCCATGATATATAATTATACTATATAAAAGATTAAGAGTTTTCCATAAATTTGTCCAAAAAAAATTTTTTTTGCTTTATTTTTTTTTAAATTATATTCTAACTTAATGTCCTGGCTGCTTGGGCTAAAATTTTAATGGCCTATAACTCCATGCCATTATGGGTTAATATATTTTTAATTTTAATCAAATTAATCAAAATGGTATATATTGTTTATGAATAGAACTTGAGTGTGCTATATCTATTATAGTTTAAATCAAACCGAACATCTTAAGTTTCGATGATATAAACAGTCTCATATACCTCTGTCTACTCGAAAATTCCTTTTCACATTAAACAGAAGACTTTCAATGCTAAATTATAACTTTTTTATTGTGTGATTGATGAGATCCTTATTACAAATTTTACAAAATATTGTTCCGTTATGAAACTGTTTTTGATAAAAAATTTCATTATTATTAATACGTTGCTAGTATATTATATTATATATAGTCTTTACTAAAGTTTTTAAAAACCTTTATTTCATTGGCTATTTCATGCTTACAATTTATTTCTTATACCCCTTGAAAAATTCCGAGTTAAGCTAACGAACATTATATTCTGTAGCACATTTTCCAGAAACCTTAAGTTCATGTTGAGTATTTTTCGAGATATTACATCTGGACACTTTTACTCTTTGATAGTTGGGGGGTTTCTGAACTTCTAAACACATTCTTTGTGATTACCTGTTTTGCTATCAGTCAGATGTAAAATTCCGGGACGAAAGTTTCTTACTCGTGATAATTTTTAATACCTTATCTTATATTCTTATACTACGAATATCTTATATGTATTCGGAACATAATATTTAATTATTTCGTTCGACTATATTCTGTTTGATTTCGATTAATTTTAACAGAGCTACTATGGTCGTAGTATTTTGTTACACAAGAAACCAAAACAAATTAAATATACATTAAGATAAGCAGGTTATAACCAAATCCATAAATCGATATTTAAAAACTTCTAAAAATGTAAGTATTTAATTTTTAGGAAAAAGTGCAGGTTAGGAAACCTGAGTGCAGGTTTTATACTTTTAAACGTTAACTATTGTCACTTGTTCTAGACTCTGCAACAGAAAATTGCAATGCCATACTTTAACAAATGTAGTGTAGTACATTAACTTTATTTGCGATAAACACCTATAGAACATCGAAACGAAGCAAAAAATATGGTCGGCCCAAAAGAAAATCGATGAAAACCGTTAAAAATGGCGAATTAGTTAGTGTATAGCACTGAAAAACTCGTTATTAGAAATTGCGATATAACATATGTTGGCAGAAACTTAAAGAAGTCAAGGCTTAATAAGAACTAATTGAATAAGAAAGCATTCAATGTAACTATAGGAGCAGCAGTTATCCTTAATATGTATTTTATAGTGTAACTACAATTGGTCCCAATTGTAACTAAAAAAAAACAATATGATAATAAATAATTGCAACATTTTTAAATATATATTTTTTTATCATTGAGTTAAATAAAATTAAAAATTTTAATTTTTTACTTTTAAAAATAAACAAATATTTAATTTTAGTGTAATAATGTTGCTGATATGAGATTTTTGTTTTTAAGAAAATTTTTGATAAAAAATTAAAATGAACTATTTTAATTTAGGATATTCGAATTTTATGTTAATATTTATAAAACCTGTAAAAATTCTTTTTTTGTATGTATATAACAAACATATATTTTTTCCAAATTTAATTTGAATACACTAATAAATATATATTTGTATGTTTAAGCGTCTTAAAACATTAAAATATATGTAGTTTATTGTATACTAAACTTGGACTTAGAAATGTATACATACTTAATTGGGTTCTTCTGAAATTAATAATGGTTATAACTTCGTAAGATTGAGTGATATTGAAGAATGAATTAATTTAAAACTCTTCCAAAAAACATCTGCAAATATACATTAATATATTTTTTTTCAAATCCAATTTAAAAACATATTTTAATTTCGATTCAATCAGTTTAAGTTGAGCATTGAATTTTTTGCATTTATAGTATATATTTTATGCGACAACTAAATATATAGATTTATGATAGATAGATTTTATTAATTTGTATTTTGCAAATATTTTCCTGAAAAACTCTATATTAAGTTCATAAAATTTAAGTTGGTTATAATAAAATAAAATAAATTCTAGTGTCATATGAATATTATTAAAATTCAAAAAGGAATTAAAGTAGTATGTTGTAACATATTACTTTTAAATTGTTCTAATAATCTGTCTGATATAGTTTAAAAATTTCTTATCAATTCCAAATAACTGATTCGAAAATTCCATTATTTTATTAACTATGCACTCATGCTTCTTCACATGCCATAAGTAAGTCTAACATGCTCGAGAGCAAACTCCATGCAATAGAAGACATTAATCAAAAATTAACAAAAAAAAAAAAATAGGAAGTAGAAAAATAAAGAATAAGTAGAAGTAAGAACTAAATTTTTAAATAAGCTAAATAGAATTATAAATAATAAATTAATCATGAAAACAGATTTTTAATAAATAAATAAAAATTACTTTACTGAAGCATTTCAAGAAAAAAAATATATATGTAAAATAAAGTATATAAAATTAATTATATAAAAAATTTCTAAAATAATAATGGTACCTGGTCTCTTTATTTTCTATAATGCTTATTAGTGAAACTGCTATTTTATAGCGAATAACTTATAATGTTTCCTATAGGAATTAATTTTAACCTCGACAATAATTAAATTATAACTGTAAGATTTTATTATTTATAAAATTTTTCATTTTATTCATTATAGGTTACGTATTATTAAATTATTTTATTTAATGATATCTTTAATAAATATATTCTTTAAATTAATCATTAGAGTAGATATTTCTTATATCAATATTTGTGGCATGTTTTATTGTACATATTTTTAAGTCCTTTAGCTTTAATTATATTACAAACACAAGAAAAAAATAAATGAAAAAAAGTAACCAAAAGGATTTAAGAAAAAATATAAATGGATGAAATTGTGCGCCTATATTTTTATATTAAATAAAATATAAAAATCAGTTGTAGTTTATTTATATTCTGTGCCTTTATATTGCACTGAGATATATTAAATAAAATTATTAAAATTTTATTTATGTATATTATATTAATAATTTAACCGTATTTACATTTTTATTTTGAGCTTTTATTATAAATCCACTAATTTAATAATTGTATATTAATAATTATATTTATTATTAATTAATTATCTTAAATAATATAAAATATTTTCAAAAATATTCGTATTCATAAATTGCTTCTTAAATACTGTGCAATGTACAGCTAAGAACTAATAACTAATAATAAAGTTATATTTAAATTTCTAGTTTTAATATAATATAAAATTTAGTATAAAATAATTCTTATAACAATAATTAACTTATTATATACGTACTTTACTTAAAACAAAACACTCTTTCACGAGTTCATATGACTTAAAAACTATATATGTAAACTTCTACTCTGCCAATTACTCTGCCATTATTAAAGGAAAACTGAAAATGTTAAAATCAAAGTATTCAGTACAAGTTCACATATAAATCACTACCGATTTCACCTTTAATAATAGTGTTCTAATGTCTCACAAAGCAGGTGATAATTGGAAATTGACACGACAAACACATATTACCTAAGATAAAAGTTGAAGATGACGGTTATTATATACATAGGAGTTTAGGTCTTACTTTATTTATCAATTAAAATTTATTACATTAAGTCAAGATTTGAATTGAATAAACTAACAATATCTTTTTGTTTATATTTCCAAACTTTTTTGGTTAAGGTTTAATCCGAATTTGATGTCGACTCAGCACAGGTGCGAGGGTGAATATTGTGTACTTTTTTAATAATTTGCAGGGTTAGTATATTTTACTACCGTCTTAAAATTATTATAGTTAATAGGTCTATTTTAAAGTAAAAATTTATATATACATAAGCCTTTTAAACGTTTTGTCAATAACCTGTTAAATCACCTCACAAATTTGAATCCAACAAAATGGGCAACTGTAATATTATTCGAACGAACTAGATTAGAATACGCTATGGTGTTTTGTAAAATTGTAAAATGGAAATACATTAATATAGAAATCTATAATAATAAGACTATAAGCTTAACATATACAACACGATAAAATAGTTCTGTGAAATAAACTTATTTATTTTTTAGTTTTTGCAGAAAAATATTTATGATGAACAATAAAACTCACTGAATGAATTTATAACTATTTAAATATATATAATAAATTGTTTTAATTAATCTAATTTGCACTCACTGCAAATTAATAATGTTTTAAGTAAATTTATAATACAATCTAAATAATTTAATCTGAACCGAACTTAAGATTTGTTATTATTTCTTAATAGATATTTGAAAATAAATTTTTTCAACTCTAGCTTATTTACATGAGTTTAATAATTTTTTACCATATATATCCGCTATTAACATTTAACATAATTAAAAATTTTTTTAAACTTAAACAAAATTAAACTAGTTTTTATCTAAAACTTTGTTAAAAGAATACAATTAGTTAGTTTTTTGAAGTAGCTTTTATTAAGACAAATAATAACACTAAAAAGTAGCATTTGAATTTATTTTATTTTTTTTTAAATTTTTGTATTTGGTCATTTTAAAATTGTGATATTTTATTTGTTGTTTAAAAATTAAATTATCTACTGCTTATTTGTGAGTTCATTATTTTCAACTATTTTTATTTATAGCATAATTTTATTATATAATATTAAAAGTTTCATATTATGTTTCATTAAGCCGTATACTTAAAATAAGTTCTTGCTTATATCAAATTTAAATATATGTATGTATAGTATATAATTAAAAATATAACAATAGCACAACTCTTGATTTTTATATATATTATATAACTAGGCTAGCAATACATATTTTAATTTTATATATAATAATTTATAATATATGAAATTATTTAAATGTTTATCACATACTTAAACTAAACTAATTTGTTTTTTATTTATATCACAAGCTTTAATTTAAATATATTAATAATTTTTTTTTAAGCCAATTTGTGTTAAAAGTTTAAAAAAATTATAGAAAAAAAATGTTAATTTCATTTTGTTAAATTAAACTTGTAACAAAAACCTTTCAGATACAAATAACTAAAAAATAAAAATAAATAAATATCAAAGCAAGAAGCCAGTCATGAGTATATAATTACAAGAAGTATATCTTATAAATTTTTTTTTTTTATTTTGGTGATATTTTTTAGACAATTAAGGATAAAAACAATTTATAAATGGTGTATCGAATTAAAAAAAATACGTTTACTTAGTTACATAGGCAAGGATTGACATATTTAAAAACGAAGAAAATTTGGTAAATTAAATTAAAATTCATCTGAAATTAACAATAAAAAACCAATTTTACACATATGTTTTTTTTTCTTAATTTGTAGAAGTAAAAATACTATTATATATATTTATAGCAGAGTTTACATAATGAATATAGTTCAAAATGTGAAATTATTTAAAATAATTGTACATATCGTAAAGAAGTTTTCTTTTGTGATGAGAAAAAGTTTCAAGCGGTTACTAAAACATAAATGAAATTAAAATAATAGTAAAGAAAGTAGAAGTTAGTTTTAAGTTTAAATTAAATATAATTATTTAAAATAAATTAAATTATTAAAAGTTAATAAAAAAAATATTTGTACACACGCTCAGTTTACATTTAATATTTATTTATATATATATAATACAAAATACATTGAGATACAAGTTATTATTCATATACAGACATATTCATAAATATTTATTTATATATTTAAAATAAGATATATATATTTGAAATTATATTCATCATAACATACTTTAGAGTATTTATTAAAAAATGAAAATTAAAGCATTTCGTAATTTACATTTAGTTACAATGAACCCAATATCAAAAAGTCAGTATTTTTATTTATATTAGTATTAAATTTAATATATTGAGCACAATCGAAGTAAATAAATTTTAGGTAAGTTCAGAATATGCCTATTTAAACTGAGATAATGTAGCAATATTTGCTATTAATTAATTCGGTTTTTGTAAAGTGGAGGAGAAATAGTAGCGTGAATTTAATTAAAATTAGCGAAAAATTTGATTTTTGGTTTTTTGTGATAATTATGCCGCTGTCTGTACTTAAACACTATATACATTATTTTTAAAAATCCTATAATACCTTAAAATATTCTTTCGCTTGAGAAAGAAACACTCACCATTTTATAATCGTCGATTTTTGATATTGACCGTAGAAACATGTTGACATAGACATAGGTAGGCAAATTTTCTAAAATATCATTAATTTGCATATACGTTTTAATTAATTTGTTTATATTACTAATATTTAGTTAAATGTTTAGTAAATACATATATACACATAATTTCAACTGCTTTATTTTATGCACATATAAAACAATAAATGAATCATTTTAAGAATATATTAAATTTTTAGATACTTGTCGATGGATAAATAATTTAGTAATTAGAATTCCTACTTATTTTATAACTAAACTCTAAATATTTGAAATTTACTTAATCTTCAACTTATACTTAAGTTTTATTTTTATTTATTTATTTTTTGTAATTCTTCAAGCACCTTTGTTGTTGTGATGAAAAATGAACGAAATGAATGAAAAATTTTTAATTTTAAATAAAAAATCAATACAAAAATAATGCGAAAATAAAAGCTTAAAAATTTTTTAAAAAAATGTCTGTATGGATCTCATTCAACCAAAAATTAAGTTTAAAAAAAATATATAAACACTAAAAAAATAGGTGCATAAAATTTAAAAAAAATTAATCAGCCCTATAAACAAATTTGTTTTATTATTAAAGTTGATGATATAAGATAGTTTTTAAATATTCATTTAAAAGCATTTTTGAAAAATGCATGCCACACTCTATCAATTTAGTTTTATCTTATATATTTTCAAACGTATAGTTAATCTAAATAGCGTTCTATTTCACCTAATATTTAAATAAACTAAAATTTAATTCTAGTTTAAATATCTTTTAAAATAAATAAATAAAATTGGATTAATAAAAAAATATATTTAATCTTTTATTGTTAATCAGTTCTAAAATTACGTCTAAAGCACATGAATAAACTTATTTTTTAACTTTTATATACGAGTAATTAAACCATTTAAAGTTAGTACAAGAAAATAGAAATATTTAATTTTTATACTTGAAGATCCTATTCGAATTTTTTTATTTTGTTGAATAAAGATATAATTATCATATATAAAAAAAATTGAAAGTATTAAATATTATATACTTTTAATTATAGCTGAGTGGAAAACATAATAAAATATTAAAGGGTGTATGAGAGAATATAAAATAAATAAGTCATAGAGAAAGATTAAAAATAAAGTTAGAGATACAAGAGATCCAAAAGACATTTTACATATAAAATTCTTTTCATTATCATTGAGTTAATATTAAAATATTTATTTATGTTAGAAAATTATATGTATATATATTACAATGTTTTTCAAATTCATTATACAACTAAACAAATAAAAATAAAATCTAAAGTAATAATATTTAATGAACTCTTAATTTTCTTTAAACCAATATTAAAATAATATCTTAATACACACAATTGAAATATGCAAAGAGAAATAAAATATATATCCAATATATTAATTATAAAAAAATTTTTAATGTTGTTTACCTTTCAATCATTTCATATTTAAATAGAAATATATATATATCTATTTAATATTAAATATATATATTTATTTAATATTAATATATATATATTTATATATATATATATATATATATTTATATGAATTTATAAATTTATAAAATTTACAAAATTTTACTCCATTGTTCTCGATATAGTGTTAGGAGTAAAATTTTAATGACTGAACTATTATCCATAGAATTAAAAAATTGTTGTAGGTTTCCAACAGATTCTTATTAGATTTTTTAGCACTAATAATGGTTTTCATCATCTTGACGGTCAAATGCGGTAACTAAATAATATAGGGGTGACAAAATACATTTTCTTAAATATAAACGGAAATATTTTCAAATAGTTGAACTACTAAAATAACCGACTATCCGATTTGCATTCCTTAGTATGAATATTGATCAATTTTCGAATGTATTAAAATAACAGAATATATTAAATTCAGTAGGGGCCATGTTACTGAATTTAATATATTTGGAGCGTCATGGGCTCGTAAAAATTGTTTCATTTGGGCTTTGCATTTGGGAAAATGCATGTTGTTTAGTGTCTAAGAAATTGTAACAATTTGCCTTTAAAATACACAAATATTGATAATTATTATTGAATAATGCTGCTTTGCCAAAGTGACGAAGCACAGGTAACCTCGGCTCTAATGACCCAATTTGAATCGACATATTGTTTTTACTTACTCTCAATTTTAAAATTTGTATTGAAAACAACAAAAATTTTGCTTATGCCGAGCCCAAAACATTCTACATAACATGGCCCTATATGTTTTTTAGCCTGTGCTATATAAATCAGATGGTCTTCTGATAACAAATTTATGAGAAACATTTTCAGAACTAAAGGTATAGTACTAAAAGTAACGAAGCTTGTAAAATAATAAACCAGACAAGTGTAAATCTAGACAAGACGCAAATGCGGTTTGCTTGGATACAACCTAACAAACTACGACGGAATACCACACACAACATTCAATATTTAATATAATAGGTGACCTGACGGATTAAAGATATTTTGAAGATATAGAATTTGAATTTTAAAGTTAGTTTAACTAGAATTTAACTAGTAACTTGATTGACGATACATGACATAAATAACTGAAAAACTTCTAATTAGAATAGAGATTAAAAAAATTACTCATCATATACATGATTAAGAATATCTTAAATCGTGAAAACTATTAGTAGATTTTTGATCTCTCTTAGTGTAGTATAGAAACTCATCACTTAGTTATTATTATCTATCATCAGATACATTTTATTTTCGGAAGAACAATTTGTTATATGACAAAAAAATTTCAACATATAGGTAAACAACAATTTAGTGAATAATAACATAATAAATTAATTAATAAATAAAGTAAAAATAAAGCTAATATGTTAACTAATGTTCAGGCATTATTAAAAAGTTTATCATAGAAATAATAATTGAATTTCTCTCATTACGAAAAAACACCAATAATCAAACAATTAAACTGTAATTTATCATAATCCGTATTGTTTTCATATATTATAATATTATTTTATATTATTATTGTAGACTTCGGCGTTTATACGCATTAATGCTAAATCGTATAATTAATAATTATAATTAATGAGTAATTAATTAAGTTGTAATTAATAAAATAGTGTTTAATATTAAAATAGTCATATTGCAATTGAAAAATTGCATATTTCTTTTACACATAAAATAGATTTAAAGTTCATTATTTGTAAATAATCAATTTACAAAATATTCTACTATAATCGGGATAAAGAGTAAAGTGAAGTACTTTATTATATCGATCTTTTAAATAAGAGAAACCATTGCTTGCATATAAGAGAATAAAATTGTTGAATGTAAAATAACTGAAAGTAGAAGTTAATTCACTGAAGATACTATTACTTTACATTCTTAATTAGGTAAAAAATGTCTGAAGATGAAATTGGTTAAATATATAGAAAGTAGAAAAAATTTAAATTCAACAAACTTTATATGTATACTTATTTGAAGTATTTAAGTATATTTATTTCGATATTGCTGTTTTCGTTTCATTTGCATGTTACGCAGATAATGTATCTTCAACTAATTTAAATGTTTCGATAGTTTTAGTTTTTTATGTATGTTTTATTATTTTCTTTTATATTTTGAGATACATTATCGAACGCGAACTTACCATAGTCACATCATCGATTTTAGATATACTTCTTACGAATATGTTGACGCGCACAACAGCGGGTCCATCTATATAAGATATACGTGAAGAAATATACAATACAAACGTATATATATAAACTTTATAAAATTCATACATGATTCATAAATTGACAGCTTTCATTATAAACCTTTATGATCAATATAAAATAATTTATTGAAAATATTCATATAGTATATAACTTTAAATAGTTTTAACGCTTTTAGTTTCGAGAACTTAATACTAACACTACAGATTATTTATCAAATATTAATAAAGTGTTGAATGAATGTGATACGAAATTTTTTTTTTAGATATACTTGTTATTAAAATGATAATTGTAATTGAAAAATTTATTTTTACGGTTATAATGCAAAAAATATTCTTAATAGTTAATATTTGCGATATTTTAAAACTACTAAAAAAACTAATAAAATACTTGTAGAATAAATATATGTACTTTCTTTATATGTTTAGCATATACATTTAGCATATTTTGCTTGTATATTACAATCTATTATTAAAATATTATAACATAAATTCTGTTTATATAATTTAATTTATAAAATAAGTATGAAAGTTGTACTATAAAGTATTTTACTATAAACTCTTTTTCATATTTTATATTGTTATATATCATATATTATATTATTATATATAACATATTATATTATTAAAATTATAATTTATAGTTTCCTGAAACAGTAAATAGCGATTATGATAAAATATAAAAACTAATATCAGTTTATATAATCAGGAATATATACACACACCTAACTGAGTGAATATATATAATTAATTATTTTAAAAGCAAGTTCTGGTGTTACTTATTAAAAAATAAATACCCGCTTATTTAACTTGTCTTTGCTTGGTTTTTGTTTCGTGAATAGGGCTAAGCCCTACACATTTATCAAGATAAGCCCGAATATGAGTTAGTCTAAACATATTATTAGATATAGCGTTCACACGCGGCAGTTTGTGCACCATATTATGTAAAATGATAAATTTTGGATTTCAAAGTTTGTTTCTGCATCTATAAAATAATTATAACACTAACTTCTTATTCAATGTAATAAACCCTTTTTCTATATATAGAAAACGAATTGCACTATTATTGCTTTTTAAACCTTTAATAATTAAAATCATCACAAGAATTGCGTTCATTATTATTATTAACATGTACAGCATTTTAACTGAGCTGACTGAAATATATCTTAATGTAGACAATATTGGATAGAGCTATACACAGAAATTGTGGCCTTGTGCTCCTCATAAAATCTGCGAGAACTAATATATATATATATATGTACATAGAACTACGTTTTGGATTGATTGTTTGATCACCTTTCATTGTGTATTTTATTTGTTTTATTTTTATTTATTTACAGTACGATTTCATCTTCATTATGTT